AGGGGGGGGGGGGGGGGTCGATAGCACATAGATGCCCTCAAATACCATAGCACTCAGACATTTGACAAACCTCTGTTTCTCTTACTAGGTTAGGACCATATTATCGACGGCATTACACATTGTATTTAAGTTTAGAGCACCAGAAAGATTTATCTCCCAGTTTAAAAATTGGCCTGCAGGTATCACAATTGGACTTGGTGGACTTAGTACGCGCTTGGCACCTCCTTTTCTCTTTACAGTTGACTCTAGGTAGCCCACTAGTTGTAGGAGTTACTACTTTTTTTGCATCTTTTAACACAAAGATTTTAAATTGTCCAGATTGTGATTTTGGAAGTTCTTACAACTCCTGGGTCTGAATATGGAGTAGAACCCTGACTACCTGTGCTCTATGGGCCAAACGAAACATGGATAAGTGAAAAGCATGGATAATTTTACGATCAAATGAACTTACCTGAAGTTCGATCGAAATTATATGAGTCGGCCAGTCCAAAGATGTTAATTATATTACCACGTAGTCCGCTTAGTTGTACTACTGCCACAAGCTTTTAAAGAACAATTCTCCCACTCCCCACCCGTCCATCACCGCCGAAGTATACTAAACTGGTCTCATTATGTTCAAAAGACTCACCCAATTCATAACCGGCGGGTGAGGTTGGGTGGGCGATTAACATCTTTGGACTGGCCGACTCATATAATTTCGATCGAACTTCAGGTAAGTTCATTTGATCGTAAAATTATATTTCGTCAGGCAGTCCAAAGATGTTAATTATATTACCACGTAGGATGTTTAAAGAAGGTTATGAATTAGACATAATAAAAGTTTCTAATAGAAGACTTATTATAATAATAACGGTAATTGTTACACGTAATATTAAGTATATGAACGCATTATTTGGTAAAAATACTTAGAGCAAAAAGATTTCGTTCTAAAACAGGTCTATTGTAAAATTTCGCAAAGGTAAGCGAATTTTCGCTCCACCCCGCTGAGTCTTTTATTATGTCCAGCGACACGCCGGCTCTACTTGCCGCTGAAGTGGAAGCATGTCTGCTAGAATGTGGTGTAAAGATGCTCGTATCAATCCCAGATAAGCACAAAGTGCACTTTACCCAACGACTCAAGGTTTGTTTAGAAGCTTTCCTATGAGGCTTCTGAAAAGTGATAAATAAGTAATCATTATTTTCCTCCCTTAAAGTCGCGGTTCTTTCCATATAATCTTGTAAACAAGATACAACGCATAATTTAGGCATGTCATGAAATTTGGGGAGGTAAAGACAAGGTTGCTTTACGTTAGTAGCAGTTGTTTTTATTCTGTCTTCTATCCAAATTTGAATCCCCTCGTTAATTGGTTTAATATTAGAAAGCCTTATTAAACTGATGGTTTGTATTCTTTGCCCAGTAGCTAACACTAAAAGAGTAACCAATTTGTATGATAGCAATTTTAGTGAATTTGTGGGGTTTTTATCAAAATAATCAAATACTGTTTTTGGATCCCAAGTTGAATTGTAACGTGGCTTCTGGGGCCTTATTTTTGATATGCCTTTCATAAACCGTCTCAACATAGGATCATCCCCTAATTTATTTGGTAAAATCAAAGAAAGCGCTGCTCTATGAGAATTAAATGTTCCATAGTTGTTATTAGTGCTTTCTAATAACGATTGTAAAAAGACGATAACGTCTATTACGGTCGCTTTAAAAACGTCAATTTTGTGGCCAGAGCAATGCTCCCACCAAAGTTTGTAGGTAACGCCGTATTGTTTAAGTGTGACCTCCGAGATTGAAGATAACGTTGTTTCAATAGCGGAAATAGGAACTTGTTGGAGTTTCAACGCCTCCCGGACAGTTTCGCGGCTGCCAAGGTAAGCGTACTTGCTAAAGGATGTGTTTCTTGGCTGAAAGGAGAAAACAATAACCTAGGGTTTGGTCCAAAAAGGATAAATTGGCCTGCACACAGTTTTACAAAAAGTGGATACCACGCTTGGGAAACCCAAAAGGGAACTACTACTATCCCTTCCGCTTTATCTTCTATTATTTTTTGTAAAACTCTTAAGATTACCGCAAAAGGGGGAAAAGCATAAAATTGCATATTTTTCCAAGAAATCGTAAAAGCGTCACAAGCAAAGGCTTCAGGGTCTCTGTGCCAAGAAACAAAAAACTCACATTTGCGATTGCTATAAGAAGCAAATAAATCTACGTCAGGTGTGCCGTATTGTTGTGTTATCTGAGTGAACGCATAAGTAGACAAGGACCACTCAGTTTCCATTTGAAGCGAACGCGACTCTAAATCGGCCACCCAATTATCTTTGGTATTAATATAAGATGCTGAAAGCCATAAATTACGATTTTCGCACCATTGCCAAATTTGCATCGATAATTTGTGCAGTTTTGGGTATCGAACGCTCCCCATGCGATTAATACAAGCTACGGCTGTAGTGTTATCGCATCTAATTAACACGTTACCGTGTTCCAGATAGTGTGCAAAACATTTAAGACCCATAAAGATAGCTAAAAGTTCTAAAAAATTTATATGATTCTTTTGTTCTTCCAATTTCCACCAACCATGAGACTTTTCACCGTTACAGAAAATTCCCCACCCTGATAGGGAAGCATCTGTAAATATTTCTAATTGAAAAACGTCTCGTTTAATGTCATTGTGAGAATGTTCGATATTTTTTAGCCACCAATTAAAATCCGGGAGAGAAGGTATAGACATTAATGCATTAAAATTTAACCTATTTCTCTGAAGTGCTATCTGTTTCTCCCTCTCCAGCGATTTAGTGTATAACCAACTATACTTAATCGCGGGACAGGCTGAAATTAATAACCCAATAAATTGAGCAAATTTCCGGATTTTAATCTTTTTGGTACGTAAGATGAAATTTATCCATTTTTTAATTTTTTCTTTTTTGTCGTTAGGCAGTTCTAGTGTTAAGGTATCGGTATGAAAAATAAATCCCAAAAACTTGCAAGTTTTTGACGGCACCAGAACACTTTTTTCGGTATTTAAAAGAAACCCTAGGCGTTGTAAAGTGTTTACGACTAAATCAGTTTTCTTTTTACAATCCGAAAAAGTTTCACCAAAAATTAAAAAATCGTCTAAGTAATTCACGCAAATAATTCCAATTGATCTGAAATGTTGCACTACCGGTTTAAGAGTTTTTGTAAAACCGTGTGGCGCCGACGATAACCCAAAAGGTAAGCAAGTGAATTCGAAGAGATTATTTTGAAAGGAAAACCTTAAATACTTTCGATATTCTCTTGCCATAGGTATTAAAAAATAAGCGTCTTTCAGATCTAAAGATGTTAAGAACCAATCCTTTTGAATGAGTCTTAAAACAGTTCTTGTATCCTCTAATTTAAAATGTGGAGTATCCACAAATTTATTAAATTGCTTTAAATTGAGGATAAATCGTTTTTTGCCATTAGGCTTATCTGCTAAAAAGAAGTTTGATAGAAATTGATCAACTTGCTGCTCGCACTTAACTACCGCACCCTGAAGCCTCATTTTTGTTATTTCTTCTGATAAAAGATTAATATCATTTTCAGAAAATGAAATACGAGGTGGCGGCTTGGATTGATAAGGTTTTCTCTTTAGCGGTATTTGATAACCCCTTATCCAATTTAGAACTACTTTATTATTTGTAATGGTTGTCCAATTATTGTAAAACTTTGCAAGTCTGCCTGCTAAACAAAAACTTACCTCAGTTACTTGTCCTTTCTGTACCTCTCCTTTATGTTGTAGGGTTTGGAGGTTCGCCCTTTGTAATGTCCCCTCTCCCTCTGTTGACGGGACGGGCGAAATCTGTTTAAATTCTGAAAGCGTCGAAAGTTACTTGTTCCCTTCCCTTCTTTTTTATCTTTATTGTTGGCTGCCAAGGCCGGCGGTTTAAACCCGGAAGTGGAAGCAATTGGTTTCATATCATTGCTGGCAGTTTGAACGGTTTTGGCTGCTTTGATCTTGTCGCATATATTTGGCCCAAAAAGAAGGTCCGTGGGAAGACACGTTTCGAGTAATTCTTTGGTCTCCTTATTCATATAAGGATAAATAAAGCTGCGTCGAGCTAGTGATAAGTCGTAATATAAACTGGCTAAAAGACGGCCCGCATCAGATAAGCTAGGAAGTAAAAGTTCCTTGCACAAAGGCGTCATATTTTCAGACTCATTTAAAAGTCCGTTTAGACTCTTACTCAACGCTGCCAACCCTATGCCTAGTTTCGATTGAAACTGAACATAGGCATCATCTTTTTTCTTAATGTTAACCGGAATAAGGGCTTTTGATTCCGGATTAAGAACTGGTGGTATGAGTAAGGAGCAATTTATCGGTATTTTGTATTTTTGTGAAATGCTACTGATTTCAGCTTCCGACATGCCTTTAGAGATAATATTCGACCAGCGGTTCGCCAACGCGGAATGTACCTTTACGACTTCACTGTCTTTAACGGAAGGATCATCCCCCAAAATATTGAGAACTTCATCTGTTAATTGCGCGTCAGTGTGAATTTCCAATTCTACTTCAGATGGTGAAACCATGCCGCGCGGGCTATGGGCGACACTATCTATTGTGTTTGTCAAGTCGCACGGACCTTGAACTACACTTAAATTATCGTCCTCTGTACCAGGTAAAGACGTAATCGAATTACGCCGACGTTGCCGAGAGGAAGTCGAAATAAGAGACGAAGATCGCGCGTGGCGACTAGCAGGCGACCAATCTCCGCGCCCCGCACGGGAGCGCGAGCGAGATCGACGACGTCGTTTATATTTAGAATACAACGATTCCAGCGTGGCTAGCCGTTTTTGCAAATTTTCAGTGACTTTAAGATTATCGTCACTATATCTATCACTACTCGAAGAACGGTGTCGATGTTTTTTGTGTTTTCCCATGCTAAAACGCTAAAACCGTTAGGAAATAAATCGACTTACGTAAATAACAATGGAGCAGCGAACGAAGTGTAGCAGTCTCGCACAAGAAAGCGAATGGAGACCAGTTTAGTATACATCGGCGGTGATGGACGGGTGGGGAGTGGGAGAATTGTTCTTTAAAAGCTTGTGGCAGTAGTACAACTAAGCGGACTACGTGGTAATATAATTAACATCTTTGGACTGCCTGACGAAATATAATCCAAATAATGCTTTTCATATAATGTTCAGGTCCCACATTTCTTCGTTTTCGGGTTGTTACATCAACAATTGTCATTTTCTCCATCTCTCAATCCTCTCACAATTCATGTGAGATTCAATGTACCTACATTCATATCGATCTTATAAAACTGTTGATGGGTTTGTAGATTCTTCAGGTAAATATTTATTCTTCATTTTTGTTAACAATCATTATTTCATTCATTTCCATTGTAAATGATCATGTCACCTTATTCGTTTCTCATTAAAGTTTTGAGTTTGCTGTGTTTGTTGTATGTTGTGTACGTTTCCAAGAGGATTTTTCTTATTTGGAACACTAGAATTAATGATGGGTTGTGAAATATTAAACAAATAGTGGTTTTACAGGACGTGTTTCATTGAACAAAGATACGTTTCAATGGAATAAGCTCTGTATTTGCGAATCTATTGCTTACCGAGGATGTACCTACGGTTTGTAAATTACCTAATTGGAGAACGTTTTAATTCTAACAATTCTGTTGAATCATTAAAAAATTGGGGAAGAACGCCTTCGAATGGAACGTTTTAGAGAATGTGAACACTTGTTCAAAAATGGAATTTGACCATAATGTTTTCCGAAATTGGTCTGTGTCGCTTCCAAAGAAAACAAGGCATCATCTCGTCGCGAGGGTGGAAATCTATCTTAAAGCGAATGGAAATACCCACAATAGAAAGCTAATTTAGGCAATTACGTTTGCAACGAGATTGTTTATACGATTGGGTCAGTGTAAATTCTTCTAAAATCGCTTATTAATAAACTACAATTTGGCTTTGGTACAGGAAGCAATAATTTTGCAACTTCCATAACAATGGAAACGTTCAACGTACCTTTGGCGCATTTTACTTTCAAGAGAGGGAGTAATTGTAAACACTTGTTTATAATTATCTAACGTACCGAAATACTGTATGTATCTAAAAGTAAATTCACAATGTGCCGGTCTGTTTTTAATGACGGACATTCATGCGAATAATTGTCGGAACGCGAATTATTTTCATTTGTACATTTGCATCTGAGATGAACTTGTGTTTTATCTATTTTTAGATAACTCAATGTTTTTGCGTGGACGTGGAGAAGTTAACCGTTAAGGTATGGATATCACGAAGAAAAACGTCAATGTTAATCCCAGAACAAACGCAAACCCCTGCGCTGTATTATTTTTTACGTAAGTTTTTATTTTATTTTTATTATTATTTTTAAGTACGTTGATCGGGGCTTATGTTTATGTAACGTCTATTACATTTTGTAGAGCGATGTCTGTTGTAGATAAATAGACAAAAGTCAATTTAGTTTGGAGGTTATTAATAATAATAATTATTAGTAAGAGGTAAGTAGTACAAGCAGAGCGGGGTGTCCCAAGGTTTCAATCTAAGCACACTTTTGTTGTTTCTTTTCGATTTAATTTCGAATGGAGCACAATATAATTGCTGAAATCAAACGAATGTTTCTCAATTTGTCATAAATTCAACATTTAGAAACCTGCTATTGACATTATAGCATCTACCTACTTTCAGTTGTACACATACGAACGTACACACACCAGGAAAAGATCTGAACAGAAATTTATTTTGTCATTAAAGAAAGTGTTGCAACATTGAATGAATATATTTACAATATTTCTTTAGTTGTACGTTTAATTAAAATAATCCCAATAACTTGTATTTAATGTTACGATATTCGTTGCCGCATTTTTATATAAAAATCCAAAAGAAAAATACTGGACTATATTAAAGTCGTACTTGAGTAATTATGCAATTGTTATTTAATTAGCTTGACTGGGTTAGTAACGTCAATTAAAGTACGCAAAACCTAGGCTCCCAGATAGTTTCTTTTAGAATCTTCCAAGTCCTTAGGTAATAGCTCATAGTTGATATAAATGAAAATGATGCTGTTCTTCTGAGTTATAATACAAACTTTAATTTTTCTAAATGATAGTCATAGACGTCATAGTTGGCTTTGACATTTTTAAAAAGGACAAATTTTTCTTTTTCTAACGATATAAGGCTTGCTAAATGTACTTTAATAAATAAACGCGCTGCAGGAATGTTCGTATTATTGAGAGGTAAATAAACAGAGTTTGCCATGGAAAACAACATCTAGTGAGATAGTGTAACTGTGGCACATTTACATACAGGGTGATTCCTATAGTACCTGCCACCGTTTGGGAGCGTATAGGGGGTGCCTAGGGGAGTATTTTGATATAGGACACTTGGGGTCGGAAATCTAAAACAAGGGCGCCAGAACCAAATTTATCTTCTGGAATTTCACGCCTGTATGTAGGCAACCCAACCGACCGACGTTTCGCGCGGAGCGATGCAGAGCGAGTTAGCGCGAGGAAGCGACATGGAAGGGAAGGAGGGAAAACGACAGTCAAAAGCAATAACGTTTACAAGTGTTCAACGTGGCCACCGTTGTTCTCAATGCACTTCCTACATCTAGCCAACTATTATTATACTATTGCCATAGTGTTTATTCACTTGATACGCGTCGTTGCAGACGGGATTTCGTGGGTTTAAACAAAATTCTGATCAATTGTCAGCCACACATCGCCGCCTGAGATCGCTCCGTGTGCACCGCCGGCCGGTTGGGTTGCCTACCTACAGGCGCGAAATTCCAGAAGGTAAATTTGGCTCTGGCCCCCTTATTTTAGATTTCCGACCCCAAGTGTCCTATATCAAAATACTCCCCTACGCACCACCTACACGCTCCCAAACGGTGGCAGGTACTATAGGAATCACCCTGTATTTAAAGGCCATTTCGAAAATTCACTATGAAAGTTAAATTAACAATTATATTCAATACACTATTAAAAGTAGATCGTATCATGCCATGGAAAACAATAAATAAACAAAATACTGCTGCTTATTGTTGAAGGCCTCAAATAATACTTGGATTTAATATTTGGTGTGGACTTATTGGATCGCGAATTCTTGGACCTTTAATTTTCGATGATAATTGGACAGGCCAACGTTGTACATTTTCTACCAAATTAATTTCAAGAATGTAGGATGGGTTAGATTTGGAAACACGACGTAATTTACGATGGTTTCACCACAACGGTGCCCCGCCGCACAGCCACCTGCAAGTACGAGAGCACCTAAACCAACCATTTCCAAAGACATATGGATATAGGTAGGAACGAGAAGGCCCTTTGGTCACCAAGATCGCCAGATCTTTCAATTTTAGGTGTTTTCTTTTCGGTGTTCTAAAAGCGTTTAATTTATCAGCGAAAAAAATGCACTTTTTAAAAATGTCACAGATAACTATAGTTGCCATTTAAAAAAATGTAAGTTTGAGTTATAATAGTCTAGGGCCTAGGCGATAAAGACATCTAACTGGACATTTTGAGGTGGAAAAGAAAAAATGGTGGAATATGTTCAGTTAGGTGTCAGAAACAACCTATTAAAAATCCCACCCCCCAGACCCTGTGCTAAAGGCTCCAGCCACCCCACCATCCCCCAAAAACCGTGTTTTCGCTCTTTTTGGCTGATATCTCGCGATCTATGAGGTCTATATGAAATATTTTTAGCTGAAAATGCTCCTCGTGAAATTTCTTACAAGGTAGATACTCAGAAATTAGCCTAGGTATACCTTTTAGCCTAGCAAATTCATAAAAGGAGGCGAAAATCATCATTTTCGTGTTTTTTTTTGCGGTTTTTTGCAAATATATCGCGACCTTCAGGGCTAGATGAAATATGTTTAGCTGAAAATGCTCTTCGTGCAATTTCATACGAGATAGATAACTGAAGAGTTGGCGTAAAGTCACCTTTCACCTTCAACTTTCATGTGTGAGCAAATATTCATTGTAAAACAAAGTATGTCTATGTAAACGTAAATACAGTATTTTCATATTAAAATATTCACACATTCATTTATACCTCAACGTAATCATTATCCTCTGCAGATTCCACTTCGACGTCCTCTAGTGCTAGTGGGTCCCAATACCACTAGAGGACGTCGAAGACCCTGAAGAAGTGGAATCCGCATCTAGTCTATAGCTTCAAAGTTTAATTCAAAAGTCAAAATTGCTAATTTGTGGATTGAAGAGGTGGCATGGAAATTTATATTTGAAACCTTAACTGGAAATATGGAACATCCAGTAATTTCAAACTTCAAATGAGAGGCGTTGGAAGTTTAAATTTCAAGTTGAAAGTTAACGAACTAATGATCTCTTTGTTGATTGAGAAGTCTGATCGAAGAAGTACGAATTGATTTGGTTAAGTATAAGGATAATGATTACGTTGAGGTATAAATGAATGTGTGAATATTTTAATATGAAAGTACTGTTTTTACGTGAATAAATGGTACATAGAAATACTTTGTTTTACAATGAATATTTCCTCGCACATGAAAGTTGAAGGTGAAAGGTGACTTTACGCCAACTCTTCAGTTACCTATCTCGTATAAAATTGCACGAAGAGCATTTTCAGCTAAACATATTTCATCTAGCCCTGACGGTCGCGATATTTTTGCAAAAAACCGCAAAAAAAACACGAAAATGATGATTTTCGTCTCCTTTTATGAATTTTCTAGGCTAAGAGGTACACCTAGGCTAACTTCTGAGTATCTACCTTGTAAAAAATTTCACGAGGAGCATTTTCAGCTAAAAATATTTCATATAGCCCTAAAGGTCGCGATATATTTGCAAAAAGCCACGAAAATTGATGATTTTCGCCGCTTTTATGAATTTCCTAGGCTAAGAGGTACACCTAGGCTAACTTCTGAGTATCTACCTTGTATGAAATTTCACGAGAAATATTTTCAGCTAAAAATATTTCATATAGACCTCAGAGATCGCGAGAT